GAAGGAAGAAAAGAGAAAGAAAGAAAAGAAAAAGAAAGAAAGAAAGGAAGGAAGGAAAAGAAAAGAAATGGGGGCATGATTTTGCCAAGCAGACATGGAAAGTGGTAGTGGGGGGAGGTGTTGCTTCGTGGGCTGGGGTAGTCGGGGCGGAACAGGAGCTATTCTAGGGAAAAGAAGCAGCTTTAGCAAAGACATAGGGATGGGGAATCAAAGACTTAAACCACAAAGGGGAAGCTGAGCTTACCTGAGGCTGCAAAGGGCAATCCCTGAACAGGAGCCTGCAGCCTTAACCAGCACAGCCCCACTGCATTAGTCTGGGAAGCTACAGAGCATGTGTGGTGGCCCTAGGAAAGGTGCACCCCCACCCCCACCCCTACACACTCCCTAACGTGGCAACACAGCCTTGCAAGGGTATCAGTGTGTGACGTTCACAAACTCTCCCTCCTCCTTGGCTAAGAGCATTCATTCAATCAACGAATAGTCACTGAGTGCAGGGGCCTATGCTCAGCATTAGAACAGAGCAAACAAGGCCCCTGGCCTCGTGGAGCTTGTGTTCCAGTGTTAGCCAGGCAATAGGTACATAGGCAACTAAAGATATTTACTGAAACTGTCCAGTGGCGATCAGGCCAGGAAATGGAGAAGGTGGACGATGACAGGCAGGGGTGGTAGGGGTGGGCCTACTGTCTTAGATAAGGCGGTTGGGGGAACCGTCTTGAGGAGATGGCATTGGAGTAGAGGGGTGGGGGAGGTAAGGAAGTGGCCAGGTGGTGATCTGGGAGAAGAGCGTCTTAGGCAGAGGGAGCAGTCACACACATGTCCCAAAGTGAGAATGAACTCGGTATGCCCCAGGAGAAGCAAGTGGGCCCATGTGACTGGAAGCAGTCCAGAAGGGCATGCTTGGTGGGACACGAGGCTGAAAGGGGGCAGGGACAGATTTCCACAGAGCAAGGGGCATAGGTTGATCTTAACTGGGATCAGTGGGCAATGGGGGCAAGTGGGGGCTTTAGTTAGGGAGTGATGTCATCAGTTTGCCCTGGCTGCTGGTGAGGGGTCAGGAAGGTACGATGGGCAAAACTCAGGGGCCACTTGCAGGCAGTGCCAAGAGTCCAGACAGGAGGATGGTGGCTTAGACCAGGATGCTGGCACTCCATGTGGTGAGACATGCCAGAAGGGACTGAATATGTGACACATACAGTCAGCACTAGGTAACTCTCAGAGTATGAGAAGTCCAGGTGGGCCCCCAGGTCTGGGGCCCGAGTCACCAGGCTACGTGGCTGATTCTTTTTCTTTCAGTGACTCCAGCATGAGTCAGGCACACATGTGATTTGGGAGGGACAATAGAAACACCCAGTCTCCTCCCTCAAGGAAATAAACCACACTAGGTAGATCCACAGGTGTTGTCTGCTTATGTCTACATATGCCCCCCACAACCAGGATGCAGAAGCAACAGATGCACCGGGGCATGTGGCCGAGCCATGGCACACATGTGTTCTCAATGGCTGCCCACTTCTCATCGGGGTTAGGTTTCCCCTGCAGGGCTGGTTAAATGTCTGCTGCATCTCCACCAAAAACTGGACTCATGGCCTGGCCAGGTCTGGCCTGGCAAAGGAGATAAGCTGCTGAGAGCTGTGTCTGGGCACACGCAGCCCTCGCCTGGGGAGCCTCGGCTAAGCCGGTGGTGGAGGCCCTCCAAGCGCACTTCCAGAATGCCCAGGCACAGGGACTTTGACTCTTCATACACGAAAAGGAAAATGAAAGCAAGTCAGGGAGTACTTCAGTTCAGAGGCAAGGCCATCGCTGGACACCAGGCACTTGACACAGAAAACCTTCCCTGAAACCCCACATCAGTGCTGGCTGAGACTGGGGCCAGACGTGACGGGCCCCCCGCGGCTCAGCTCGGAGCCTCGATAATGCCATCTTGTTCTGACTTGACTCCCCTGCTAAGAACAAACCAGAGGCCCGGCCCTCTTCCATCCTTACAGCCCAGATCTGGAACAGAGATCATAGCTGTTTTCCATGGGGCTGCCGCAGGTGCTCTTGTGATCTGGCTTTTGGAAAAGGAAGAATGTGCGCCCCTTGTTCGGTAAACAAATCACAGCCTTGTGATCAGAGCTTATTTTGAGGGTGCATGAAGCTCCCCACCATTTTCAGTGACTTTAACTCTTGGAAAAGGATTTTCTCTGCGTTATGGTTTAATTCTTACTCCTAAAGTAATGCTCTGAAGCAGGTGGGGAGAAAAATCCCACTGTGCCGTTCCTAAGCCTCGCGAATATGAGAAGAAACAACAAAAGAAGGAAAAGACGTTTCACATTTTAAGGGCATGTTCAGGTGCCCTAAGAGCTGAGCCAGTTCGTTAAATGATTTCATTTGGAAACTTCCAGCTTGCAATTCAGTCATTCTTCAATGAGAAATACATGATTTGTCAAATATGAAATGAAATCATTAATCTCTGACAAAGTCGGAGGTAGAGCAAATCGTGGCTGTGTGCGCCCCATGCTCTCTTCCTGTTAACAAATTAGGTAGCCCTGTGGAAGGTATTCCAGACAGAGGCTAGCATGGGGCTCTGCCTGGAAGAGGGAGGCACACTGATCATCAGAATGATTGACTTGACTGCTTTCAGACATTTAACTACCCATCCCACCCTCCCTGCCATGTGCACACCACAGAAAGGGAATCTGCTTTCATCTTCTAGATATCTTTTCATTTAAAGCACCGCACAAATACAGAATAAGCCAGACAGACAGGGCTATTAAGACATAGGTTAAAATTATATAGAGCTACACAAACACAGGAGTCTCTGTAAAAACTGGTAAAATCTGAATAAGGTCTGAAGTCCAATTAACAGTATTAGATCAGCATTACTTCCCCAGTTTTGACTTTGCACTGTAGTTATAGAAAACGAGGAAGCTGGGGTGAGGATACACAGGGACTCTGTACCTTTTGCAACTTTCTGTGAATCTATAATTATTTCAAAATAGTTTTAATCCAGCATTTTGGAAGACCAAGGTGGGAGGATTGCTTGAGATCAGGAGTTCAAGACGAGCTTGGGCCATATAGGGAGACCCCATCCTGACGGAAAAATAAAAAAGTAAATTGGGTGTGGTGGTGCATGCCTATGTTCATAGCAACTTGGGAGGCTGAGGTGGGAGGATGGCTTGAGACCAGGATGTTGAGGCTACAATGAGTTATGATCATGCCATACAATGAGTTAATGATCGATCCAGCCTGGAGGACAGAGTGAAATCCTGTCTCAAAAAAAAAAAAAAAGTTTTGAAAAATGTCAAATGTGCCATTTCTAGGGTAAGTGGCCTCTGACAAGCTATCACGTACAGTGACACAGGTCCTTTCAGTTTTCCTTATATGCAGCGCTATCTTGGGGCAGTACCAAGAAATGGCCATGGTCATTATTTCCCCAAAGATAGCCCGACAGAAATCACATCCCAGAGGTGACAAGTTGATGACTAGAGGAAAAACTTAGAGTGCATGTCCTTAAGTCACCTTGTCCCAAACCCTTCCTGTTGAAAATGTCAGGCACAGGCCATGGAAGGGTCTGCTGCTACAAGTCCGTGGATTTTCTCTGCCTGCCAAACCTGGCTGGGGTCCAGTCACAGGAACCTTACCAATCCTAAGTCCAACCAGCTCTGTCCCTGGCCCTCAGGTTCTCAGATTTTAGGGTAGGTACATCAGAGTCGTGGGGAATGCATTTAAAATGCTGATTCCAGGCCTTCTCCCACCCCTGCAGATCATGACTAAGTAGATGAAAGATGGGGCCTAGGAATTTGTATTTGCAACAAGCATTTGTGATTCTGTCTCAGGTGGTCTTCAGGCTACAGTTGAGGAAACACTGACTGAGAGCATGCACGGGGAGGGCTCCCCACAGAGAGGGCAGAAGAAGACCTGGCAGGTACTTGGCATCCAGAGAACAAGGCACTCCTTGCACCAACGGAGAGAATTGCCTCTCAGCATAGGCCAATCTCCAGCCCCAGAGCTTAAGGGAGGCTGCAGAAGGGCCTGGGAGCCTCCAGGATTGGTCCTGCTGTGGCTGTGACCATGTGGCATTTAGGATAAAATGGAGAATGTGGACTCTGTCATCATCACAGCTTCTCACTGAGTGCTGATGATGTGTAAGCAATCACATCTCACTTAGTCCTCACAGGACTGCTCTGAAGGAACTGTTTATTATCCCCATTTTACAGATAGGAAAACTGAGGCGAAAGTGGAGGGGCAGGAGTCTAGCCCAGTCAGAGGTAACCATGCTGTGATACAGCATCCCTTTCTGTCAGAAGTGTTCCTTTAGGTTCTCATCTCCTCCAGGATAAAATATCGTCCTTAAAAATAATAGAGGACGGGCACGGTGGCTCACGCCTATAATCCCAGTACTTTGGGAGGTTGAGGTGGGCGGATCACCTGAGGTCAGGAGTTTGAGACCAGCCTGGCCAATATGGTGAAACCCATCCTGCCTCTACCAAAAATACAAAAATTAGCGGGGTGTGGTGGTGGGTCTCTGTAACCTCAACTAAGGAGGCTGAGGCAGGAGAATCACTTGAACCCGGGAGGTGGAGGTTGCAGTGAGCCGAGATCACGCCACTGCACTCCAGCCTGGGTGATAGAGCAAAACTCAGTCTCAAAAAAATAAAAGGAAACTTTAGCGAGTTTGTGGGGAGGGGAGGGGGAAGAATTTCCCAAAGCTTGTTTCCATGGCATGAATACTCCCTTCCCACTGAAAGCAGATCTAACCCTCTCAAAGTCTACCTTCCTCTGCTCCTCTGTTCTGCTCTTTCTTTCATCTTTGATCCTGCTGTCTCCTAATCTTTCTCCTCTTTTCCCCTTCTAATTTTTCTCCTTTTGTCTTCCGATTCCAAAGTCACAGACTCAATGCATCCCTCCATTTTTCCTGTATCCAGCATCGCCGATAGAAGAATTTTCTCCTGCCATTTGGCCATGATACAGGCTAGCTGAAAAAAATGCGAATGAGGTTCCTAGCAAGATAGATGACCTACCATTTTCCAGAGGACACTGTGGAATCCTGTTTGCCTGAAGGTTCCAAATATAACCTGTGTTCCACTCAAGGCACACTTGATGATCTTTGAAAGGACGTTCAAAAGGCGGGCTGGTCTGCAGCAGGGTGTAGTTCTTTGCTACGGCGTGGAGCAAGTGTTCCTCCCATTTAGCATTCCAGTCTCCGCCACTGTATTTGTGAGTAATCCAGGCGCGTACTATCACTGCAGATACAGAGATGGAGTGCCTGATGAAATAATCATCTCTGTAAACCATAATGCTGGGAAATTTCACATGTACTATTTGTGTCCTGCTGGTGTGAAGATGTTTCTCATTCTTCCACCTTTTTTTGTACACGGGAATGCTACTTCTGAACTCAGATGAAACAACTGCTTCCAAATTGACAACACAAGGCTGAGAGCATAAATACTCAACCGAGACTTCAGAAACGTTGCGAACATTTCCTTCAAAGACAGTAAAATAAATAAAGTCTTTGTAAGCCATGCTCTGCTCAGCTTTGGATATCACCGATGTCGTCAGGGAAGTCTGCCTACCCAAAGACGGTACAACATTCTGAAAAAAAGAAAAAGAAAGTAAGAAATACAGAAAGTTTATAAATCCTCTTCACAGCAGATATGTGAATCATTATTTTCCTGGGATAAAAAAATGCCAATCTACATAAAGCAATGCATGAAATGTGGGAGATAAAAGATGTCAAAACCTACTAAAGGATTGGGGAAAAACCAACACACAAATACAAAGGAAGATTAGGACACATTAAACTCCTTCCCCAGACCCAGAACATTTGCTGATTAGAATGTGACTGTCAAGTCTACGTGCCAATAATTCCAGAGTTGGTTTTCAAATGCAGAAGCTGGTTCACAACAAATCCAGTAGCAATGTAATCTGCCTTTGAATGAAACAGAGACAACCCAGCTTCAGACATTTTCAAACCATTGTCCTGACTTCAAATGGTGCGTCAGACACTACCAAGTCAAAGGGTGGCAGAAAAGTGCAAAGTGCACCCTCGAGGGAACAGAACAGAGATGCCAACCTGGCGCCTTCTTCTCCTGTAAGTTTGAAGCTAGGGCAAGCCTGCATGATATATGGACAAGCGAGAGGCTTCTATTGCTCCCAGTTACACACAAGCAAGCTCAGACGATGGGCTGTGTTGTCTGATTCTTTCACCATAGATGATGCTACATGAATCAGAAAAGATCTTAGTGGAAAGTTTATTTATCTGGTCATGAAATCAAGGCAAGGTTTTGAGCATGAGGTGCTGATATATGAATGCTAAGAGCTCTCATAAATATGACTTGATTCAGGTATCGAAAACACAATAGAAAAAGGTCAGTTTGGCCCACTGCATATCCATGAAGGTGGCTATCATAAAAAAAAAAAAAAAAAAACAGAAAATAAAAAGTGCTAGTGAAGATGCAGAGAAATTGGAACCCTTATGCACTCTTAGTGAGAATGTAAAATTGTGCAGCTGCTATGGCAAACAGTATGGCAGTTCCTCAGATAAATTAAACATAGAATTATCATATGATCAGGCCAGGCGTGGTGGCTCATGCCTATAATCCCAGCACTTTAGGAGGCCAAGGTGCGTGGATCACCTGAGGTCAGGAGTTCAAGACTAGACTGGCCAACATGATGAAAACCAGTCTCTAATAAAAAAAAAAACTTAGCCAGGCATGGTGGCGGGTGCTTGTAATCCCAGCTACTTGGCAGGCTGAGGCAGGAGAATCTCTTGAACCTGGGAGGTGGAGGTTGCAGTGAGCCAAGACTGTGTCACTGCACTCCAGCCTAGGTGAAAGAGGGAGAAGCCATCTCAGAAGAAAAAAAAAAAAGAGAATTATGATATGATCAGATCCAGCAATTCCATTTCTTGATATACACCCAAAAAAATTTAAAGCAAGGACTTGAAGAGATATCTGTACCCCCATGCTCATAACAGCATTACCCACACCAGCTAAAAGCAACCCAAGAATCCATCCATGAATGAAAGGGTAGAAGAAATGTGGTAAATACGCAGGATGGAATATCATTCAGCCCTAAAAGGGAATGAAATTCTTAAAAATGGATGAACTCTGACCACATAATGTTAAGTAAAACAAGTTAGACACAACAGAACAGATATTATATCATCCACCAACATGAAGTACCTAGAGTAGTCAAACTCACAGAGACAGATGGCAGAATAGAGGTGACCAGGGCCTAAGCGGAGAAGGGATTGAGGAGTTAGTATTTGATGGGCCCAGAGTTTGAGCTTGGGACGATGGAACAGTGTGAAGATAGAAAGTGGTGATGATGGCCCAACAGCGTAGATGTCCTTAACACTACGGAACTGTACGCTTAAAAATGATTCCAATGCTATATTTTAATGCATGCTCGTTTATACCACAATTTAAAAGAAAAAAGTCAGTTTGGTCTCCTCCCAGGAAAGAAATAAGGACTCCTTTTTTCAATTCTTGCTTAGAGCTGTGGGAAAGGGAAAGATGGACAAGACATAAAATTCGGTATCAGGGAATCATGTCTATAAATAATGACAATACGGGCCAAGAGTGGTCAGTGTTCCGACCAAACTGTGAACAAGCCCAGGGGTACATAGCACTGGGAGGGAATAATTCTAACTGGGGGATCTGGGATAGGCTTTATGGAAGAAATGGTATCTCAGTTGGGCTTTGAGGGATGAAGAGGAGTTCTTCAGGTGGAGAGGCAAGGGAAAGGCACTGCAAGTGGTGTGAAGAGCATAAACCGGGCAAGAGGCAGGGGAATGCAGGTGACGTAGGGAATAGAAAGCAGCTATGTGGACACACAGACATGAGGTTGAAAAGAAAGGTAGTTTGGCCCTGGAGACCATTGAGTCCCAGCCCCAAGGAACGTGAACTTTCATTCTACTGACAGCAAAGAATCAACTAAGGGACAAGGGGTGGTGTCTCCCTTTTTTTAAATTGCATTTTAGGTTTTGGGGTACATGTGAAGAACATGCAAGATAGTTGCATAGGTACATACATGGCAGTGTGATTTGCTGCCTTCCTCCCCTTCACCTATATCTGGCATTTCTCCCCATGCTCTCTCTCCCCAACTCCCCACCCCCCACTGTCTCTCCCCTATTCCCCCCAACAGACCCCAATGTGTAGTGCTCCCCTCCCTGTGTCCATGTGTTCTCATTGTTCAACACCCGACTATAAGTCAGAACATGTGATATTTCATTTTCTGTATACACCATGGAATATTATGCAGCAATAAAAAATGATGAGTCCGTGTCCTTTGTAGGTGTCTCCCTTTTAAAGCAACTGACAATGTCAATTAGAAACCAGGCTAACAATGCATACAAAGATGAGCAAACAACACAGTTAATCAATAAGTAAATGCTCATTCATAGTAAGTTAATGCAAACTGAAACTGCACTGAGATGCCATTTTTAACCTACTAGATGTGCAAAGATCAGAAAGTCAGATAACACATTGCACTGACCAGAGTGTAGGAAGCATGCCCTCTCACGTATTGCTGGTGGCAGTAATCTTTAATCTCCATGAGGGCAATCAAGTAGTATCTACCAAAAGTATAAATGCACTCACCCTCTGGCCCAATAATGTCACTTTTAGGAGTTTATCCTATAAATATACTCAAAGTTGTGCAAAATGATGTCTTATAGATTTTCACTCCAGCGCAGTTTGTAATTGCTGGAGATGGGGAGCCTACACGCCCATCAAGAGGGAGCTGGTTAAATAGAAATAGTATATCCACTCGTGGAGTACTATACAGCTATTAAAAGGAGGCTCTTCATGTACATATGATAGAATGATCTCAAAGGGTTTTGTGTCTGGTTTTTGTTTGTTTTTGATTTTTCAGAAGTTTTTTTTTTTGAGATGGAGTCTTGCTCTGTCACCCAGGCTGGAGTGCAGTGGCATGATCTTGGATCACTGCAACTTCCACCACCCAGGTTCAAGTGATTCTCTGGCTTCAGCCTCCTAAGTAGCTGGGATTACAGGCGCCGGCCACCACATCCGGTTGATTTTTGTATTTTTAGTAGAGACAGGGTTTTACCATGTTGGCCAGGCTGGTCTCAAATTTCTGACCTTGTGATCTGCCCACCTCAGGCTCCTAAAGTGCTGGGATTAGAGGCATGAGCTGCCACATCTGGCCCAGGTTTTGAAATTCCAAGTTTGTTGGAATATAATTCACACCACAAAAGTCACACACTGAAAGTGTAAGTTGCAATGTTTCCTAGTAGATTTATAGAGTTAGTCAACAATCAATCATCACCACAATCAATTTTCGAACATTTCATCACCCCAAAATGAAACCCAGTACCCAATGGCAGCCAGTTCTCATTTTTTTGCTTTTTAAGAACAGATTCAGAAATACAATTTGGGTTAAATACACACACACACACACACACACACACACACACACACCCCACACACGTATATATGTACACATGCATATTCACTTGCATACAGAGGAGACAGAATAAGAGAGATGCACTGTATATCCTTCCCTAACTTTTGAATTTTGTACCACATACATTTTTTTTAAGTAGGTGAGGAGAAAGCAGCTGTCCTAAAAGGTCAACGTGGATACTGTGGCTTCTGCAAATGGCAGAGAGAACAGGAGAAAGGCTGCAATTCCTTCTGACCAGTCATAGGAAACCTGTGGGAAGAGCTATGTAAAGAAGGGGGTACAGCCTAAACTGTCCGCCCCCGCCCCCTGGAGAGGTTTAATTGTTTTATGTTCTCATTTATACTACCAGATTACAGGGAGGAAACACATATAAAAATCATCTCCTAATTAGAAGCAGAGAACGTTACAATGGATGAGCCTGGTGACAAGTCAGTCTATTCTCTTCGTATTCTGCAGACGAGAAAATGACAATCAAGAGGTGACATTCTCCAACACTACCCAGCTGGTGGGTTAGCAGAGGCAAGCCCAGAAACCTGGTTCCTTTTCTAGCCGCCTACCCACTCCCACCCTCCCCACGCCATAGCAAATGATATCAATAGTGACTAATGGTCACTATTTCATGGCCACCTGGAAACTCTAGGCTAAATTCTGCTTCCATGTGAATAGGGACGCACCCAGCATTCGTCCGTGAGTGCTGATTTATTCATTCAGCCAGATGTGCCAAGATGTCGCCCCCATTCTCAAGATGCAAATCACAGTGCTAAGCCCACATCAGAGTTTCACTCGAGGCCAGGGATCGCTGGTGCTGGTGGAAGCCGAACAAGCTGAACCGGCCAATGAGTGGCCAACATGCCTTATTCCAAAGCAATGCCCTGAATGCTTCCCTCACTAAATCCCACAAATAAGTCAAATGTCAAATACGACATTTGCTTCTTTTCTGAGACAAAGGCAGCCCAGTGCCCAGGACATGCAGAGGTGTATTAAATATCACATTGTGTTCTTTCTCAAAGAATGACTTAAAACCTCTTCCTCATTCCTTCCATGTATACCTTAAAAATTCACCCAGGCTCAGCTCTCCCACTTAGATTTCTTTTTTTGAGTGGGGATGGAGGAATGTCAGATTTTTAATGCTGATGCTAGCATCTCCAGTGAAAACCTCTTTT